CCTTTCCCCCTTGTATTTAACTGCCAAACCCCACCACCCCCACCGAGCCGGCCCTGGCCAAAAGTCAGAAAAACTTTTTAATTTACATTATTATCTCCCCACGAACTTAAACAAATAATATTTCAGCATATACGCGTAATTAATGGGACAAGCGCATTAGCATTAGAGACCCCATAATTTATCGTGAAAGTACAATCGAGTTCTAAACCTTGTCTCGAAAATATAATTGAGTCCTAAAACTATTTTTTTCCTACCCACTCAGAAAATAGCACGATGATTTTTTTTTTTAAAATGCCCGAATTACGGAAATAAAAATAAGAAAAAAAAAGAAAAGAAAAAGAAAAAGAAAATCTCGAACCTGAAAGAGCAAAGGAGCCACCCGGCTATGGCGAAGCTATAAGACCATCGCACAACACTCTCTCTCTCTCTCTCTCTCTCTCTCTCACTTTCGACCGTCTCGGAAACGCCGCGCGACGAGATGGAGTCGCCATCGGCGGCGGCGGCGGCGTCCATCCCTCCGAGGCTGAGGCTCATGTGCAGCTACGGCGGGCACATCGTCCCCCGCCCGCACGACAAGTCCCTCTGCTACGTCGGCGGCGACACCCGCATCGTCGTCGTCGGCGACCGCCAGCTCGCCTCCCTCGCCTCCCTCACCTCCCACCTCGCCAAGACGCTGCTCGACGGCCGCCCCTTCGTCCTCAAGTACCAGCTCCCCAACGAGGACCTCGACGCCCTCGTCACCGTGTCCACCGACGAGGACCTCGACAACATGATCGAGGAGTCGGTGAGCTCCTCCCTCAAGCAACCCCGCGTCAGGCTCTTCCTCTTCCCGTCGCCGCCGCCGTCGGCGCCGCCGGAGTCGTCGCGGTCGATCGGCCGCATCCTCGAGGCTTCCGGAACGTCGGAGGACTGGTTCGTGGACGCTTTGAATGGCGCCGGTTCCGTTGGACCGAACAAGGGGTTTTCGGATTCTGCTTTGGTTAATTCCTTGTTAGGGCTTGAAGACGCGGGAATTATCCATGGCGAGCCCGGATTGGAGAAGGCTGTGAAGCAACCGCAGGAGGTGCAATCTGTTCCGGATTCGCCGATGCTGGCGACGTCATCGTCTTTCGGTTCCACTTCCACTGCATCGTCGCATTCTGTGGTTAATTCGCCGCCGATTCGGGTTCAATCAGAGTGGGAGGCGGCACGGGATGAGAAGCTGGGGATTGAGGAGCAATTTGCACTTATGGGTGTTGGAATTGGTTTTGGCCATAGACAAGACGATGGTTCTGTAGCAAGTTTAGCAAGTTCAGCGCCTCTGGTGCCTGCAACTTCTCCTGAGTGCGTGCACCGGGTTTTCTCTGATGATGAGAGATCGGACCAGGGTGTGCCAGTGAATTGTCAGAAGTTGGGGACACAGCAGCATCAGCTGCAGTCGCTACCGCAGAATGTGCTTCTAAAGTCGCAGCAAAGTAGTGGACTAAATTCGCCTTCGTCCGATTCGCTATCTAGGTACTGAGAAAATCGCTTAATGTATTGCTTCTCAGTTTGTTATTGCTGCGTTTCGCTAACATCTCTGCATGCTTGCTAGTTGCTACTGGAATTTGGAGAAAAATGATTAATCAATGACTAGGATTGTGGATTAAAAGCTAGACTAGAAGTCCAGTGAATTTGAATCGTTTGCTGTTTTGGAAATATAAAAGAATCTGCATATGGGAGAAATAGGAGCAGTAAAATTGGATTATTGCATTTCTTTTGAGAATTTGCTGTAGCGTAGAGCCTTGTCTTGTAGAATCATATTTAAATGGCTGCACTTTAGTTTGTTTCTTGAATTTATGCTTGCTTTATTCTTTCTTGGATTAACTTTGCAGCGAGAGTATTTGGACAAACACGATGTTTTTCCCAAATCCTGTAAGTTATCAAGAGTTGATTGCACAGATCCCTCCTGCAACCAACAGGATCCCTTCTAATCAGGATGATCAAAAGGTTAACACATCCGATCTGATCAGTCAGGTTCATTTACGACAACATATTCCTGATGCCAATCACTTGTTTCCCTCTCAATCTGATCAACGGCAGCCTGAACACCATCAACCACTACCACAGCAGCAATTTGTACAAGCTACTTCACATTTTATTCCCCTTCAACCCACTGGATCACCTCAATTAACGGCCTATTACTCTCAATATCCTCCTTCACATCAAAATCCCCAATATTATCACCCTCAGCACAATCAGCAGTTTCCAGTGTACTATGTCAGAGCAGCACATGATTTGGCTTTGCAACAACCTAATATAAGTGAAGCTTCCACTGCTGCAGCTGTACCTTCTAGCCAACCTCAAATGCCTCCTAACGTTGGAAGAGATTCTCCCGTTGCTAAACCTCAACAACAGTATGCTGGTTACTCTCAAGTTCAACATCAATCTCGGTCATTTGTGGCTCCTGCCACATATGGTTCTGAATACGCGGAGCCCACCCAGGCGTGGAAATATGGTGGCCAACCCATGGTACCGATGTTGTATTCTCATTATCAACCAACTGTGGCGTCCAATAATTTGTTGTTTTCAGAAGGTTCGACTCAGCTCTCTGGTGACAAGATCAGGCAGCAGATGCAAGTGTCAAAGCCATTCTAGTCCACTTGCCTTGGTGGAATGGGTTTGTGGTGTATTCTTAAATGATCTGCTCTACTCTCTGCCCCTTGGTCGTCTTTTATATATTTTTGATATTGGTAATAAGGAGATGTCTTCTGTGTCCTTTGTATGTCGTATAGTCTGATATCATCACGAGTAATGAAGTTTGTCGAAGAGTATATTGTGCAAACTGCAAAACTTGAGTTGTACTATGTGGGGTTTACAGTTTATTTGTATAGTCATTGCATCTGTACATACTGTTTCAATCTGTGCGTGCATGTTGTCTATCTCAATTATATAGAGTCTAAATGTTTGAAAATTATAATGGTTTGTGTGGAACTCCTTTCAATTGAGACAGCTTAGCATTAAAGTACCATGACATTATAACCATGATTCGATAATTTTCATCTCTTCTAACACAATGCATATACATCATCCCCGTGATCTTGGTGTTTTCACGTTTGCCTCTTTTAGCTGGAAAGTTGTCTCCATCTGCTCCTCCCTCTTAATCTAAGATGTAATTCACTCTTTAGTCTTGGCTGGAGATAGATATAATTGTCTGTCGACATCAACTATGCCCAATGACAATGAAGGTTGGAACAGGAGCCAAGCCTTAGGACATAACTTCATTTGGTTGCGGACAGTAAGAGAGAAAGATGGAAGAAATTTGTTTTGTTGACCTGAGCAGGCCATGTCAGTACACTGCCCTTTCAATGTTTTTTAAGAACCAATAATTGATTCTGAGTGCATCTTGCCGATTATCAATTGGTGTTCATTTTTCTATGTATAGTGCAGCACAAAGTTAATTTCCACGTGTCTTTTTTCTGGGTAGAAGGCACCATCTCTATGATCAAATAAGCATTGATTGATTATCTTCTGCCAGGAAGTAGCATGTTCTCTTTTTCACAAACTGGGTATCGTCATTTCTTTCCAGACAAAGGCTTGTGGTTTGTGAGCCCTGCCTTCATGTGTCCTTTGTCATACAATGAGCAATATATGCTCGTCATTGTCGACATTATCCATTCCTAGCTTTGATTGCACTTTTTTGCGGCCAGATAGTTGCGATTGTGCTGAAAGGAAATAATGCAACTATTTAAAAGCCTTAATTTATTTCACTGAAATTTTATCATTACTTATAGATTGACGACTCAGTTATGGTTACATTTACTCTGATTTCTCCATTCAAAACGATGCCGTAATATATAGCAGTCTCCTCCATACGCGAAACAATTTTTATGCTGACCGTAATTTTAATGCAAAGTTAGAAATAACAAGCTTCTTCTTGAACAAATCACAGTTGTTCGATTGTTAGTTGGTGTGCGTGGAGAGACATCTGTCTACGCATATAGATTTTGGTATGCTAAGGTTTCCACTCTGATTAGCTCTTGTCATGTAATCGTAGAATAATGTTTGTTAGTCAGTGCATGACACTGCGTAAGAAAGAATATATACTTCTCTTCTGATTCTCAAGTGACCTAGTGGCCTCTCTTGCATTAGACTGATAATTCTCATGTTCTATGCGAGATTACTGTTGGATTTATTAGATTGCCATTGGATTTCTGGGTGGTTTAGAAATTTCAGATGGTTAATCTAATATCGCTTCATGCTATCATCACTGCGTTGGTCTGAGCAGTTAACTTTTATCATCTTCTCTGAGCAAAATGAGAAGTTATTTTGTATCTTTGAATGATCAGATCGAAGTTTCAATGAGTGCTGATGGTATGTTTAACACAGCGCCATATTCTTTGAGGAGCTAAGGTTGATTGGATCATATAAATGACAGATTCTGGATCTACAGTTCATTGGATCCGTGGCATCTGCTGGATCAATGGCAGATTTAATACATCTACATTCAAAAGTTATTTTGCCTCAGGAGTTTCTAATTTTCGGTAGCATAAACAGCGGACCAAGTGTATGGAGCCACAGGTGACTATTTACAGGATAAAATCCGAGGGATACATGGTATGGCCATGAACTTGGACTGTCGGAGCCGAAATCCTGTACTGGTTTAAATCAAGTCGAGTGAAGTTATGAACTTGAGCTGGAATTGGTTTTGTGAATTTGGGTGGAGTGTTAGAGCAGAGGCGTGAAAATCTTTTATCTTATTGAGTTTTGGACCTTTTGGAATGGGCCGGCAGAAATGGGACCGGGTTTTGTTGTCTCCGAGCAATGACTTTAAACAGTGAAATCAGGTGAGCATGCCCCTGACAGAATGATAACGTCACTGTCTTAACTCGCGGGAGAACTCAGAAAACCTGTGAATTGTCTCCACAATGCTTATAATACGAATGGCAGAATCACTCCGAACATGCTGTTGCTGTCGCTCGTCGGTGGGTTCGTTGAGCTCTTATGTAAGGACAGGTGCAACGTGTTTTCCCTTTGGCCAGAACGGAAGTTTCAATGTTTAGAACATGATTTTTCCGGTCTCCAGCAAGAGCAATCTGCCAAAGCGCACGTGAAAAACCCAACATCAGATTCAGGGGTACACTATTCATTTGTATGCTAGTAGTTCATTACGTGATCATTTCAGTTGTTTGCTTGAAATTTCTCTCTTAGCATAGATCACAGAACCTAGAGATTCGAGCCATATATTAGGAATTATAGTTAGGATTAAGAGAGGAAAAAAAAGAACGAACGAACGAACAATCTATTTCTGTGCACTTCCCGTGTTTCATTAACATGGAAAAAAGTGCAAGAGACTAGAATAATTCGATTTGGTCTGTTATTTCCGGACATTCGATGGGTATTATCCTCCGATAAGAGAATGCGGTGGAAAACACCTACTTGGATGCGACTTATTATGTCAATTAATTCGAATCCCTCTATCCTGAAGAGCCAGTTTATATTTCCTCACTAGCAATTACGTTTCAACCTGAAAAGAACTGAGTGGTTGTCCCAATAAGAGGTCGCAGCATCCGAACGGACTTTTACTCAGAATCGCTTTGGCCATGCCTTGTTTTTTCTTGACCTTTTCTTCCTCTCTCTTGTTCATTTGGCACCTAACTGGCGAGTGGCAGGAGAGGACAAGACACCATTCAATGATATGTCATGGGTCAACTTTTTCTTGTCTTCCATGTGTCCCTAAACTCCATTTTATAGTTTCTGCATCATTTGAGGCCGAGTTTCTCCCAGACGCAGTACTGGACAATATAAGTAGGATTCCATACTGATGCCCTGTAACATGAGCAGTTTTTGTGGGTGTACAAACCATGGATCGAAATGCACCTGCTGGTTTTGTTTTCAAGCCCTCAATTTCTCACCCGATGTACTATCAAGACAAGAAGGGTAGCCAAATGATCGATCTGGGTCTTAGCCTGAGAACTCTGCAGTCTGATTCGCGCGATGATCCATCTGGCGAGTGTACGTTTCAGCTTGTTACTCGCTTCTGTAGTTTTATGCTTTTCTCAGATCATCAGTTTTCTCATAATCTAATCCAGAAATTTTGGTGTCATAGTAACGCGTTGCGCCATTTAGGCTTCTAGTCCACATAGGAAGAAGCTGTCCAGGGACTTTAGTGATGTTAGCATCGAAGAAGAGAAAAGGAGAAGATAACAAAGAAGATTTACTTACAAAATTAATGCAATGTAATCATCAGAAGCTGCATCATGTATAGGCTAATCTATAACTGAGGAAATTAATTCTGAGATGGTGGTAGTCGCTACCGTTTTTCCTTGTGTTAAGTGGTAGGATATAATCAAAAGTGAACTTGATTACGATTCGTTGATTTAGTTCACTTTCTGGTACTTTATCTTAAGCAAAAGAAAATTGGCATGAATCTCCAACTCCGGGAGATCCTAGCAGATTCAAACTTAGAATCTCCAAATTATCAAACAGGGCTTAGAAGTCGGCCTGGATTGAGCTGACGCATCGTCCCAAACCCATTTTCAAGTGCTTGTGGTCATATATTGTGACCTTTTCAAAACTAATTCGAGTTCAGGCATTCTGGCTTTGTATTGCTCTCGTTTTGCTTTCAGTGAGTGAGAAGAGAACGATAAACCAAATTCTTTCTGCTCGGCAGCAATGACCATGCATGCGTTTTTAATTTTTTTGTCTATTGATAGTGGGAGGCCTTAAGGGGTGCAGCGAGCTAATTGATTGGCAGCAACTGAACCACTTGCAATACTCAAACTCAAACAACACTAGCTCGAAAATTCTCCAGGACGACTACTACGATGAGGAGGCAGAGGGGGTTCAGAGTGAAGAGCAATCGATATATGTTAAAGTCACCATGGATGGAGTAGTCGTCGGTAGAAAGCTGTGCATGCTTGATCACAGCAGTTACTGCAGTGTGGCACTTCAATTGGAAGACATGTTTGGTCGGCCACAATGAAACTTTCTAAGAGCTTCCCAATTTTTGTTGCTTTGGCACGATCTCATCGAATAATTAGAGTATGTAATCTTCTGTTTCAGGTGGACAATGCGCATACGGGTTGAGATTGTCTGAACCTGAGTCCGAGTACACCTTGCACTATAAGGATAGGGAAGAGAATTGGAGGATTGCAGGCGATGTTCCATGGATGTGAGCCATCTTGTCTTGTGTGCTGATACACTCTTCTCAGCTCCTACTCTGTGTCATAATTCTCCAGTTGTTGGAAATTGCTGGAAATATGTATCGAATGTTTTAACATCTGTGTCGATTGATGTAACAGGGAGTTCATTGGACAAGTTAAGCGCATGCGGATCATGAGAAAGAGCGAAGCATTTCTTCCAATGATCCTGGAAAGGCATCAGCCAATGAACGACCAACTAAACTGGGGTTTCGAGAGCAAAGATTCGACTGAGCTTTAGAATGAAGTTTATGTTCCTTAAAACCGAAGGTGTATCAAGTAGACCTTTCAGATTACTGTTTAATGTCTTATAAAGTTTTGTTCACTTTACCTGTTAGAATTTCTTCCCAAAGAATAGTATGCTAAGTTGAAAAAACCAAGAAAAGATCAAAGGCGACAAATGCTATTAGCGAAAATTTAAATGAGGTCTATGTACTATTATCTCTGATTAACTTTGATCTCACTTTATTTAATGACATGTTTGGTTCCTACATTAATCTCTGGGCATGAAAATGAGATGAATTTTCGGATTTATGTTCAAATGTAAGTGCCAAAAATCAACTTGTGATGTCAAGATTATGTTGAAGTCTCATTCATGCTTCTGAACAGGTGCAATCTCTTGGAATATTTCCCCAGACAACAAACCCAGGCCCTGAAAACCTTTTACTGTCAACTTCAAAATATATTAGGAGGTTTTCAACAATCTCCCTCTTTTTTACGGTGACAAATTTTTTTTCCCTTTTTTGATGGTGACAAAACTTTCTATGCCAATGAATAGATTTAAAAAAATTGTGAGTAAGATAAATCAAGTAGCAAATGTATATGAGTTTGCATTGAGATACAGAGAATAATAAATGTATAAGAAAGTCATATAATCTGAATCAACGACTGTGATTGTGATTCTGTGACTTTTGTCCTGCAAATCATCCATAATATTCTGTCAAGATATTCTGCCACCAAGCATAATATTCAAAATATCCTGTCATTGCATGCTTTCTCCCCCTTTTTGTCAGCATCATAAAGACAAATATTTAGATAAGATCACCACTTTAGTGGCATGTAGCCTCGGCAAGTTGCACCCATCAATGGCTTACTAGTTATTTTCCATGGATCTCCTCCCTCGTGAAGCAAGTACTGGAGACAACTCATTGGACTTGATTAATAGGCGGGACCGAAACGGCCAGGCCTATTAGTTGGCAAAAGGTCCGGTCCAAATGATCAAGGGTTGTGTTTGATTCGGCTAATGGGGAAAGTTTTTGCGAAAATAGAAAAGACTAGGCTAAAGGGGTCTTTCAAAATATAAATAGTATTTAACAAATTGCAATTTAAAAGTGCATTCGGAAATATCTTTGGTTTAAATGGTATTTGGAAAAATCACACTTTGTAAAGAACTTTTTTTTAAATTTTTTTTCTAAAAACCTCAATACCGTCGAAGGGCTCAACAGCCCGAGCCTTTTGCCAGCAACATGGCATGCGGTGAGGGCATCGGAGGAATCCAAAGCAACCTCCAAGCCTAGAAAATAGCCGAGCTGCATGAGATCTCTCATTTCAAACTGATGACTGAGATATTCTTGGAGCTTTGTAATGCCAGAATGATCATCGCTAATAGTAATCATGTCTCCATATTTTATAGTAACATAATATATCCATGAGATGTTTGTTGAGCAAAGAGAGCATTGTCCTAGGGATTGGATTTAAAGCCAAAGCGGTCCATGGTGCAACTGAACTTAGAGGACCATGCATGATGAGACTGCTTTAGTCCATATAGTGCTTGACGTCATCGACACACTTTATTAGAAGTATGAGTGTATCCATGAGGAAGTTCCATATATTTTTCCTCAGTAAGATTGCAATTGAGGAAGGCATTTGTAACATCCATCTGGAATAAATGTTATCGCTTCATAACGGCGACAACAAGAGGACTTCAAAAGAAGTAAGACATGTAATTAGAGCAAAGGTCATGTCATAGCCAATGTCATACTCATGAGTAAAGCCTTTTGCTACCAATTGAGCTTTGTAGCCTTCCATTGTACATTTGCATAGTTTTGATCTTATACACTCATTTACAATCTAGAGCAGACTTTTCAGAAGGCAAATCAATCAAATTCCAAGTATGAGATTTGTAAAACGCTTGCAACTCATCTGTAATTGCTTGTTGCTAAAGAGGGTTGGTATGTGAAAAGAAACAATAGTAGAATAACAATGAAAATAACAAAGCCAAGCAGAAGGTTGACTTACACCAGTGGAATGACAAATAGGAGAAGAGGGAATGACCAAGGTGGAGGATTCGTGAATGACGCAGACATGTCAGGAGCTGTCGAAGTGGGATCACTAGAGGTACCTGAATCAATATTAGGAGAAGACAACTCCGAAGATGAAGATAATGTGTCATCTTTCGGAAATAGATTCGCTAAAGGATTGGTAAAGAATTGAACAACAGAAGAGGAGTCGAAAGGAAAAAGCGGTGAGAACATCTTGTGTTCTTAGAAAGTAACATGACAAGATACCCGAAGACGATAAGAGACAGGATCTCAACATCTATACCATTTGTGCTCACGATACCCAAGGAAACAACATGGATGAGCACGGGTTCTAACGTTGTGCGTTCATTTGGAAGAATATGAACAAAACAAGCATTGCCAAAGTCTTGAAGAAGACGCCGCGATGCAAGCGCTTATAAAAGCATATAGGACCCATTGTTAATTGTCAAGTGATGTGGAACAATATTTCAACACCCTCCCTCACAATCAAGTCGAGTTAGGAGAGGCACGTGAAATTTGACCACGGCATGTGGAATTTGATTGATGGGAGTGAACAATATACGCGAAAGAGCTAGCACTGACTTTGATACCAATATAAGAATAAAGCGGAAAAGAGAATTGTGATAGCTTCTTTATAATTATGTGTACATACTAATTTTGGCCAAAAATTGCTGACGTGGATGCTAGCTATTTTACATGGCATGGTCGACGGACTGTTGTCGCTGACGTGGACAATTTTTTCATTTTTCAAAAATTTTCCCGAATTTTTAAAAAAATTTCCGATTTTTTCTTATAAATTTTATGATTTTTCCCTTTCCTTTTTTTTTTCTTTACGATGGCTGACGACCTCGCGGGCATAGGCTAGGGCCCAAACGCCCTCACCCATAGCAAGCGAAAGTCGGGGCTCTCCAAGATCTAGCGAGGGTCGCGAGCTCTCTTTGGTCACTGGGCGAAGGCCGCCATGGTCTTGCCTAGATGCAACATTTGTTCACATCAGAGCGCGTAGTGCCTTATAAGGCTGTGCAATGGTCCAGTTCTACCTTGAAATCGAATGAACCTCCAATAGAAACATGTCTGGTTCAACCAGTACTGTGCAAATAAATTTCAGGTTCTGAGTGCTGGACCTACCCACTCACTTGAAAACCGGTTAGAACATGTTTTATGAAATTGGAAGAAGATGATTTATCTTTCTTAAATGAGCTAAACTACCCTATTGCTTTATATTTCTATTTTTATATTGATATTTTACTTTGAAATTTTTTGTTGCTCATACTATTTTATTGTAATTGCTATTTATCTTGGTTTTGTAAGAAAATGAAGCAAAAAAAAAAAAAAAACAGAAAGTGGTTCCCAGACCAGACAATTGGATAGGTTCTAGGGCACATAGAGTAGGTTTTAAGTTTCAAAAATTGAAAATCGAAACTAACGTGTCGATCTTGATCTGTACATGTCACTCTTGATCTCTACATATCACCACATGGATTGCAAAGGACTTGATAGGATGTACATGCTAAATTGCTAACGAATGTTCGACAAGTTCGTCGTATTCAAACGCGTTAATTGCGATGGTTACGTTTGGTCGCTTCCAAACCGGCAAGTCGCCCGAAGGGGAAGCACGTTGGGCAATTGACGCGAGTCGTGGATGCATGGCCACGTGTGTTGACCCTCACTCAACAAGTACGCCCCAGAGACGCAACGCACCAGATCTATCCAAACACAACCAACGCACCGCCGATTTCCCCGATAAGGTATCGTGGACACGTAGTGAAGAAGACTGAAGACTGCCAAAAACTGATGCAGCTCTGACTTCAGCAGTATCAGTAAACATCTTCGACATTGGAAAACAAAGAAAGAAATCACATGTAATTAAAAAAAATCTTATATTAGCCACGAATTCTATGTAGGACTATGTCGTAGCGTATGAATCACGTATTCTTTTCTGTATCTATACCTTTTTGACTTAATTTCTGCGCCCGGAGGACAGGACACTCGCTGAAACGGTACAGTGAAGGATACGCAAGACAGCTCCACACAAGCAGGCCTTCTTCTCCTTTTGTTGCTATTCATGTTATTGTTTCCAGAGGCAAATTGCAAACTGCATGTTTTCCACTGCCTCGTAACATTTCGACGCCCGCTCGTTTGTTCTTAGGCAACTTAAGCTCCTAGAAAGTGACGCCATGAATCGATTAACAGGTCACAAGTTAGTCAATGAGAACCACTGTGATATAGGAAATTGATGGACTGTACCATGTACCCCCGAGACATCCAATTGTAATGCCGACCGCTCCCGAGTAACCGTGATTTGAACACGATCAAATCACAATGATTAAAGTTTATGAGATTCACAGACAGCATACGCTACGCTCGTGATTGACTAAGTTTCTGATGGATCAAGTCCAGGGAAAAATTACCAAAAATTTCCTAAACCTTTTGCAATTGTGCCAATTCAGTCATAAACCTTTTTTTTTGGCCAATTCAGTTCTAAACCTTTTGCAATTGTGCCAATTCAGTCCATCCGGCCACTTTTGGCCGGCCGGCGCTGACGTGGACGCCGGCCGATGCCGGCCGGCTGACGTGGCAATTTTTAATAAAATTTTTTTTATTTCGAATTTTTTAAATTTTTTTCTCTTTCTTTTTTTTTTTCCCCTATCTTCTTCCCTGGTCGTTGGACCGGCGACCGGCAAGAGGCTGAGGCCGGCGAGGTGGACCTCGACGGCCATGGGCGAGGCTGGCCCTCGCCGGCTGGCGAGGGTCAGCCTTGCTGTTGCCGGGCGAGGCCGCCTAGATCTAGCGAGACCTTGCTGTCGCCTGGCGAGCTCGACCTCGCCCGGCCATGGCGAGGCTTGACCTCGCTCGACGACGGCGAGGTGGACCTCGCCATCGCCGGGAGAGGTCGGGCTCGCCGGGTTTTGTTTCGGTTTGGTTCGATTCGGGGTCGGTCTCCCGAGGACCCCGGCTCGCAGGTGTGCGAGGCGTGTGGATGTAGCCCGATCTACCGCGTTCGCCCTCCATTCGCCACCGCCGAGTCGGGTACGGAGTGTCGCAAGGAACCGCCGCCCCTGTTTTTCTTTGTACTCTCTTTTTGGGGCTTACTGGCCGAAGCTCGCGGCCGTCCGGCTCGTGCGAGTTCTGGCCTGTGACACCTCGGGCTCGGTCTTGCTTGTCTGTACATTGTTGTGTGTGAATCTCGGACGCGTTTGGGTCTCGATCGAGCCTAAAATCCTTTGTTTTCGTCG